CAGAACAAAAAAATAAAATCGGACTGCTTCATTTCATTCTCCAGCCGGGACAGAGTTTCACGTTCGAGGTGGGGAGATATCAATACATTCAGAGGCAACTCAATGCTGTTTCCTCGTCGTACTCGGACAACCTTCACAAGCTTTCGAGACAAGTCACTGTCATTGGACGAGTAACAGCAGCCAATACCCAAATTACGCTCTAATTCCGAGGCGGTCGACCCATCCACGGCCTGCTGACACGCTTTGATGCGGTCATCATATGCCTGTTTGCCAAATATGAAGCGGAGAATTGGTCCCACGTTATTCATGCGACCCCTCACCTCCTTCCAGTACTCCGCTTGCTCCTGCAGGGGTCGATTGCGCTTCATCCAAATGCACATTGCCCTCACATCGTTTTCTTCGGGACAATTCGTTACGATTGCAGTAGCGTCCATTTTTTTTGTCCACCGTTCATATTCGTTTTTGTTTGGTGGTGTCACCACAATCATGCCCCATCCCTTGCAAGGCAAACCAGCAGCCGGTAGAAAAAATGCCAATTCCGCATCGTAGATAATATACCCCTTCACCCCACGCAAAGAAAAAGTGTTCACAACATTCTCAATCCTGGGGTCATCCATGTACACTGACACCGTTTTTGTGGTCTTGTCAAACAGGAATGATTGACTCCCAATAACGTACGCAACCATTGGGAGCTGCTCGACATCGCAGTGCAGCAGCTGGTAGAGGAGGTACGAGCCGGCAGCCATCGATTTCCCGATCCCGGGCGTCCCAATCAACACACGCCGCCTAGGCTTAAAGTGGGTCCCACGGTGACTGCTGGACCACGCGGTTACATCGCCCTTGACGATCTGCCACGCTCGCTCCACCTCGCAGTTCACAAAAACGTCCTTAGGAAGATCCTGTATCGTATGCCACGAGTACGGCCATCCCTTCTCCGAGGTGAGCACCATCTGCCTAAGAAGTGCTGCACCGGATCGCCGCACACCGTCATCCTTTTCGAGAGTTCGGCCAACTGCCTTGTACGTCCATGAGTGCGGTGGTTCACCCTCCCTCACCTCCATTCCCGTCCCCTCGCCGCCAGGAACTTCCACGACATGATGCCACCTCGCATTGTACACAGACTCGTAGCATCCCTCCAGGTATATCGGTGCACTCATCGTCACTGAGCTCATCAATTCAACGAAGGCTGCATCCAATAAACGTTTGGTGACTTCATGAACACTTCTTTTTACCTCCTCAGCAGCTAATGACCACTTCAGTAGATTGTCCACACCTTTCTCGCAAAGGTCGTCTGCATCTTCCTCCATATCCATTTCCTCCCTCACAGCCCTCTCCATCCTCTTGTAACGATCGGATGTCTGCATTTCGAGCTGTAAAAACGTACCGCGAATATACCTCGCAGAATCCTTTATAAACTCCTTCAGCAAGACATTCTGATTTGCGGGCAAAATGCCCATGCCGTCCAACTCCATCACAAGAAAATCATTCAATTGCATTTCCATGACGCGAACCCTTCCTCTAAATAGCACATCTTTGATCGTGGTGGCAACGGTCAATTCTACTTTTTGCCACCGCCTTTTCCTTTCTTCCGCCCAACGCCTTTGTTCCGTCTCACGCCTTTTTCTTGTCAGCACCTGGGAAAGACCTCCGTTTAGTTTTGTCCTTGCTAGAGAAGTGACCGTATCCTTTCTTTCATATCTGTTCCACTGCCAGAGAGAATTCACACACTCGCAATGAAGTTTATTAATAGCCTCCAATAGTAGTTTCCTCTCATTCAGCTCCCTTTTCAGCGCTTGGTACGCATTTAAATTAAAAATTCTTCTAAGAAGCCGCTGGTCTTGTACGTAATCATCCGGATCCTGAACAAACATCTCCATAGCGACGTTCTCATTGGTGTCCACAACGCCCCTGCCGCCAACATGATTCCGAAGAAAATCATTCAATTTCATGTTGCTCCTGTTAGTGCTTCCCTCCAGCAGGACGTCCTTTACAGTGCTGCTCATGGTCCACTGCGGTCGATGCATTTCCTCCGCTCTTCTGCGCGTCTCATCGGGTTCATCTGTGTCATCCTCAGACTCCGACCTCGCTCTCCTCTGACCATCTCCCTGCGGCACAGCAGACGCTTGATTTCCAGGCATTGTTTCCCCTTGTTTTCTTGGTTGGATCGAGTTAAAGCTGAACACTGACCAACAAACGAGAAAAGAATAAGAAAGAAGATAATCAAAGGAATGACTGGCAGCCACAACAAAAAAAACATCCACAGCAAGAGAGTCATCCACACAGTATTCGATGCACACCACATGCAAAAGGACCACCACAACGACGGAAAGTGGGTGCCATCCACCCAGCACAGTGTTGGTGAGAGCAAACAACAATAACAACGTGGTGCGCGCGGAGGGTTCGTCCACGCATCCCGCTCGCCACGGTCCAGCACCCCTGTGGAACCGCCGACACCGCACACACTTGACAAGAGGACGTGGGCACATAAACCCTGACAGAAGCACAAATCATACACGCCACAACAGCGGCGCATCATGGTAAGTTCCAACACAACAGAAAAGAGTACAAATTGCACATTTTATGAAAAATATCTGCAATGCGCGTGTCAAAAAAGAGTGCCGTGACGCCGCCTTTCATATTGCATTCGCCATTCACGTATCACTTGGAAGCACGCAGCCACCACTCCTCCGTTCCGCTCCCCGTGCTGCTCGCGTCGCTCCACTGGAGGAAGTTGTCACCGCACATCCCCATCCCCGTGCATTGCGGAATACAAATCAACCACACGGCATGGGTGCGGTGCCACCCCGCCAATAAATCCCAGGATCTTCCCCACCGCCTCGTGTGGCACGGGCGGCAGCATCATGATGCCTGCGAAAGGCTTTTTTCCAAACAAGAACGCGGCCGCACAGCACGCCCGTAAAAACGTTTGGTCCGTCGCACGCAAAGGAGTGGAGCGAGAGAACAGCAGGAAAGGCAACACCAGCAGCCATGAGCAGCACGCACACGCCAACGCACCGCTGCCCCGCATATCACCAAAAACAAAAATACCAAAGAAACTTGTCACATCCCAACTGCAAATCGCAGGTGCGGTTGCAGCTGACACTCCAGCCTCCTGGGCGTGTGCGGCCCCTCGCTGCTCGGCGCTCTAAGTGGGATCACCAAAAGCACCAATTCGGGAACATTCGACCACCGCCACAGCAGTCACGCTCCCCATTTCTCACAAAGACGAAGGCTTGCATTGGCGCAGCGGACAGCGGCACGCACAGTCGCAGGGTAATGAACTGCCGCGGGAATCACGCAACGGCGATGCGCCCCTCCTTTGGGCCGCCCAACAAAAAATACATGTGTCGCGCAGTCCCCGTGAGCGACACACATTGAACCGTATTCAGCTCCACTACTGTGGCCATCCGCACTCACAGCATGAGTGCGACAACGCAGGCAAGGAAGCACGGAATAACAGCACGCATCCCTCCAATAAAGGTCAGGCGGCGTCCTTGCTGCCTTCAACAATAATTCCACCCCACATCACCCCTCTGCATATCCGCAGCAAGAAGGCCCACACGGTGCACACTACATTAGTAGTTCCTAAAGAGCAAACCGGATCATCAGAGCGCTGCCGTCTTCTCAATGTTGAGTAGAAGCTCTCTGCTCCTTGTCGCCGCAAGCCTGCGGTATTATGGAGGAGCATCACGTTCTCGGCATATCTCTCCATTTACTTCACTTTCCCGACGCCGCAAATGGAGTGACGTCCCACAAGTGGTTCCGACCGTTCTGAAGAACGTGACGTGTCAGACTCACTGAAACTGTGTGCGTGTGTGTTATTACGGGCGAGCGACACGATGCTCTTGCACATCCATGTATTCCGATCCTGCGCAACACCATATTCGGCGGTGCTGAAAGCGTTGGACACCAAACACGCACAAATCGCACAATGAATGCCTCTGGAGAACAAACCCCCCATTAACGTCACCGCAGGCACCGTGACAACAAAGTAACAAAAGAAATCCAACCTCTGCGCGTCCTCCCGCAAGAAGGTGAAGACACACACGGTTGTCCACTTAGCTTCACTCCAATTGCTCAAAAGTTGATAAGTCCACGGCACGAGGAATCACGCTACTCATCCCTCGCTCCCTGTCACGAGGCATGGCATTGCGCATATCCAGTGCATCTGCATCACCCACATACGTCCCTTTGGGGCACTCGCCTCGGTAGTCACCAAGCACGCGCCGCTAGAAAGTGTACTCCCAGTCTATGCTGCTTCTCCTGAGGACCTTGCTGCCTTGCCGCACAAACAAGTCCACAATTTACGCATTATGACTGCAGACACGTGCCAGTGGGGATTCCCGCCCTTTTCCTCAGTCTTGCCAAGTGCGTGCGCCATACAAATGCCGGTCATAGGGCAGACACACACAGGCGCCGATACCCGTGACAGTGCGTGAGATACTCGCCGCAGAATGAGGTGCCGCAGGTCTCCGCTCACTGATCCAGATTGACCACGCTGAAGCCCACAATTCCCGTCGGTTTGGAATCCCGATGGATCGTCGTGGTTCGTTGACTCCCATGATGGAGGAGTGCCAAGCAAGCAGGAACCAAAAGCCTGGACACTCTGTGGAGCCAAAAAGATAGAAAACACGGGCTGGCACGGGCACAGCTAAGCGCCATGGGAGAAACATCTCAGCTCATCCCATGGAAAACACCTCACCAACGTCACTGCAACATTGGCCTCCTGCTTCGTGGGTGTGTCAACTCCCTCCTCACTCCGTGCCAGCCTCCGTTCAATTCCCCGCCCAGCAGTACTACGCGTCACACTGCGCTGCTTCCGCACAATCACACCTCGCGGCCGACCATAGTAATTACACGCAGAGACATATCTTTCCTTCGCACTGTAGCGGAAAGCACCATGCGCGGGCTCACCGTGACCGTGAGATTCTCTTCTTTTGCCGTTTCAAGGAGGAAATCGCAATTGTGATAAAAAAAATGGTCATGGAACTACACGCCACCGGTGGTGGATAGAAAAACAATGACCCTTTGCGTGCTGGCGGAGTGAGAGAGGAATAGAGACACAGACCCCTCCCTCACATACACAAGGGGGTACCGTTTGAACATGTAGATTGGAAGAGATTTTCGATCATCAGTAGTTACTGCTACAAACGTCAAGATGTGCTTTGAGACGGCCGAGGCAACCCGCCATCGAGGTCCCGCACCCAAGAGTCTGCCAAACAAAAAGATGAAATGCCCCCGTCATCGCGTAACGCCACTGGTCGATGAGCAGCTTTTATTCAATCCCGTGTAGGACACAACGCTGCCATTCTGTCTCATCAGAAAGATCAAAAAGCCTCGTTGAAACTATGTTCTCCTGCTGCCGAAGGTTCATAAGAAAATGGTAAAGAAGAAGTGGTGCAATCGTCTTGGGAGTCGGCTCAGTCTTATTTAGAGATCGTAGACGCATCTCCTCCACCAACGACGTTGCTGAAGCGTCGGGCATCTCGCACATGATAATATCATTGAAGTAGCGGAGGTCATTGCAGACGTTAAAACCCGCGCCGTGCATGGATACCCAGTTGCCCAGCTGAAGACCGATGGATCCCATCTTCCGCGGGGGAACATCACACCAGCGGTCGGACCACACTCCGACCCTTCCACGGTGTGTTGGTATGTTGTAGTCCCTTGCAGTGTCGATCATGGCTTGCTCCAACACACAACTATACCATTCTATGGGTGAACGCGCCTTCTCCAAGGACGTGCAGTGCTTCCACAGCAGTTGAATGTTGGCAATCGGGTAAATTGTTACTTGTCCGGGCCCGTGAAAAGTCACACCTCCCCCCCTCCGTGTCTTTACCACATTCACGGTACATCCCTTGGGAATTCCTTCCGATGTGTCCCGCCTACCAACCGTGTAAACCGGTGATGAGTGCTCCACAAGCAGAACAGTGTCGGGGATAGCGTCCTCGTTTGTACCCCCACGAAGGCGTTGCATTTGTCTTTCAACTTTCTTCCTAAAGATGACCTCTTGCAGCTCGAGGACGTCACAATAGCCCCGACGCCCTAAGAAATATGCACGCATTCCTTTTTTTTGATATTCTACCAAAGTAAAACAAACAAAACGGTCATTGAAAAGACATATAAATAAATTATTTAAAAAATAAGTTAAATAAAAAATAAAAAATAAATAAAAAAAGGAAATTCAAATAATTTCTGGATGTCCCGCCGGCCAAACAAGCGACAATCAGCCCTTCTTTTTTGCCTTTTTACATCATACTACATAGAGTCTATTTTTCGTTGGTAGAAAAAACTCTGTTTCCACCCAGCGGCTCAAAGCTCTGTCTCCCCGTTTTGGTCATCATTGGCAGCAGCTTTGGCAACGTCCGCCTCAGAAATTTCACCACCGTCATCTGGTGCAATCTCGGCAGGAGAGTCCACTTGGTCTGGTGCAATCTCGGCAGAAGCATCTCTCTCAACAAGATGGGGGTCTGTAAAAGACGAGGGATCTGGTTGTTGTTCGTATCCCAATGCGTGCTCAAGGACATTGACTATAGCCGCCACCTTCGCAATGCTTTCTTCTTCTGCCACGACACGCTCAGTGTATAAGTGAACAGACTGCCGAAATTGCTCTTCTTCAACGTTCCCCGCAAACGTGAGTGTGATCGCATTCTCTTCCCTCCCCGTGACATGAAATTTGGCGTACCACGGAGTAAGAACAACCCCTTCCCCCGCAGGGTCCGTTGCTGCAAGCCCAATGACCTGCGGTATTCCAAGAAACTTCACCGTAAAGGCGCCCTCAGTAGCGTTCTTTGCACACAGTCGCGAAAAAGGGGGAAGCACCACCTCGTCGCCCTCCTTGAGAGTGTCGGCGGATTCCACAGTGCTTGCATCGTTGCAATAATAAAAGCTCTCATCAGAGTTTGCCTCCGACGTGCACAAGCAGATCACCGTGTAGGCAAGAGGAAAGTGCTGAGACATTAGAGTTCCATTCTCAAGTTGGTCAAAAAGTACTTCTGGACGTCCAAGAAGCTCCTCACAGCGATCCTTGTCACACAACATAAGAACCAAAGCCAGTTTGCCGTACGACAAACTCTGGGAGGAAATCTTTTCTGCGGCGGAGCAACACATAATTTGGATGTCTTCGGCCGCAAGACCCATTTCTGCCAAATAGCGATTCAGGGTCGGAACATCGTTGGCGCGTTGAAGATACTCCTTTGCCTCCTCTTCGCCCTTTTCGCACGACAACAACACAAGGCGGGTGTTGCTTGGGCAACGCAATGGTAGTGCCACGATGCGACGCCAGAGTTCTGGCATCAAATTCTCAACACTTTCCTGAAAAACTTTTGGCAGCTCCATGTCATCCTCAAAGGCACGTTTTTCCGCCGCGAAGCTCCCGGGTGTCCCTTCCACAAAATTACTGCCATCCGCAGCAGCAGTGGCAGCAGCGGGTGCGCCGTTCTCCGAAAGAAAAGGAAAAAGTTGTGTGAATGCCCCTTGAATCGTTTCATTTTCTCCTATCCATTTGTCCAGAGCCTCGACAGAGACTTTGGAGTCCACTGCTCCAATGGCATCTGCGAGAATCCGCTCCTCCTTTTCCGTGAGTGGTCGCTTTGCCGCGGAGTGCTCTTGTACGGCACGCACAAAGGACTCAAAAAAGACCTCGCTCTCCGCTGCGCTGAAGTTGTATTCCCAAAACTTCAGAAGCTCCGCCTTGGAGGTGCATTCACTCGCCGGCTTCTGAATTCGGCACAAATCCCTCACGTAGCTGACGATCTTCGGGGTGTTGACACCCTCAATAAAGGCACGCTGCTTCCCCTCCTTATAAAAGACAAAGTACGACTTGGACTTCCCACGACGACCGCTCAAGATGCCCTCCCAAAACGCCGGAAGTGTCTCCCGACAAAGCTCCAAGTTTTTCGGCCGCTGAGGATTGCGCTGCTCCGCAGGAAAATTAAGACTCTCTAAAACGGAGTTGCACTCAACCGAGTAGAAGCGAAGATGAATCTGGTCGCCAGCATCCATGTAGAGACGTCTGAAAGCCTCCGATAGTGCTCTTGTGTTGCCCCACTCGGAGCTGTAAACGTCCAGAATCGCCACCCCGTGTTGGGCCTGGGAGAGTTGAAGCTCCTGTTCAAGTTGTAGGGCCGTCGTGACATCCTTCAGAATTTCCCTGCTATGCTGCTGCATCCCTTGAGCACCCGTTAATTTTCTCTCGTGATTATCTTGCTGCCTTTTGTTTTGCTCAGCTGTTTTCTTTCCCTTCTTGTTATTACTTCCCCTTTGCAGGAAAAAGAAATAAAACTTGCGGTGAGGGCACGAAAAAGACCACCAAAGAGACACATAAGCAAAAACATGCATATGTTAGAGAAATCCATTGCCACATGCACAAGAACACGTGTTGATCACACACACACACACACACACACACAGAGAGAGAGAGAGAAAAAAAAAAAAAAACAAACGCAGGCCGCCCGTTATGGCACATGCCTCACGTTTATCTCTGTCAAAGCTGATTCCCACAGTTTTGGCAAAAGCGAGCTGTCACACGCGGCCTCGCAAACCCGCAACTAGGACAAAAGCGTGGGGCTTGTCGTAAAATGCCTGTTTCCAACGGGGGCAAACCTCCCGACGAGGAACTGTTGGGGATCATGTCGCTGCTATTTCCTCCCGCCACTCCATCGCGCTGCACTGGAACGGTCACCGGACTCTTTGAACGGCTTCGGCTGGTGGAAGGGGGCAACAAAAGGCCGCTCCGCTCCACAGCTGCAGCCCGGACCGATTCCCGACGTCTATTCCGTTTCCCCTGGGCGTCACTTTCCCTCCCCCCCACAGTTTGTTGCCGCCGTACACGAAGTGACGGGCTTGGATGTCGAGGCGGAGCGTTTGGCGTGACGGCTGAGGATCGACACTGGGTCCGAGGCTTCGTGGATGGCGAGGCGGATCTTGGGCGAAGCGATGACCGACGATGCGTTGATTTCAGGGGCAGCGAGAGCTCCCTTACGCCCTTCCATATTTTCTCAAGTTCCCCTAGCCGAACTTCTAATTGAGACACATCGAACTGCGATGCCTCACTCATGCTTTGCGGTTTAAAAGAGTAAAAAGACAAAATAACGGCAACCACAGAAGATTAGAGCCGTCATGTCGACTCAATTCCCCAGTGCAGGGGGTATTCTCCTAACCCTTGTACCCACACACACACACACACAATATTTATCTATTCACACCATCATATATATGTATGTATTTTTATTTTTTTGTAAATATATTTTTCATGTCCATACAAAACCGCACTCGCCATGTTACTTCTAAAGAACACACAAGAGGAGAAGAAAAAAAAAAACGAAAAAAAGGAAAAAAAGGAAAAAATTACATCCATTTTAATTTCCCTTCTTCCGATCCTACTTACCGCTGTGCCACGGCCTTGTTATACCACCAGTAAGCCGTAAACAATGTACTCATAACGTTAAACGGATGCGTCAGAGTTAAAAAGATAGTACCGTATCGCAGGAAGCTGATCTTCAAAGCAGTTCCGCATCCTGCATGAAAGCGTCAAGTTACATATGATATGGCCATCATGAGACGTGACAATGACGCCACCCCAGGCCTCTTCCGTGTTGAGATATTCTTTGCTCGGCGTCACGGTTATCTTCGATCCTACCGTCTTCCTGTACCACTGCTCTGCGTCATTGATCATGCCTTGCACCGCGGCCTCATCCTCCTTCCGGGACTGAATGACGGCATCCGTCCGCACCGCAAGAAGCGCCTGATGAATGAGTTCAAGAAGAAGTTTTTGGTACCTGCTAGTGTCCTTCACAAAAGCAGCAATCTTCCGCCGCGTGTTCTCCCTCAGTTCATCCATGATCCTCGACCTCTCCTCCATGACACGCAGCCGCTGCGTCTTGGAGAAGTTTGCCCTCGCGACCCTGCGGTCAATGTCCACCTGCTTCTTCTTCTGCTCCGTGCTGGCCCGCACCTTCACCTTTTCCACCTCAACCAAACGCATCTTCTCCACATCATACTCCTCCTGGGCGGCGGCGTCGAGCTCCTCCGCCCGCTCCTGCGCCTCGCGCTCAATGAAGTCAATCATGCTCTGAATCTGGCGTGCCTCACTCATCTTCGCTAATGATACTGCAAGGGCCGGGTAAATGCCTCAGTACCAAACCAAAACAATAAAAATAAAAATAAAAAGAACGCACCTCCTCTTGCTTCTTTGCTTACCTTTTTTATGAGGGAAAAAAAAGAGAGAGAAAATAATAATAAGAAGAAGAAAAAAAAAAAACCGCAAAAATGGCAAAAAGAATAAATAAATAAAACAAATTCCTCGGCATAGCAATCCCACACACACATATATACCACCACACGTTGTGTGTGTGTGCGTGTGCGTGTGGCCGCCGCAGTGGCAGAAGCTACAAGCAGATGTATTCTCGCAGCCGTCGCCCACAGCAATGAATGCGGGGGAGAACATTAGCTATACAATATATATATATATATATCGCCAGCATGCATGCGTGCGTTAAGCAAGAACGGATGCCGTCATTGCACGCCATCCTCCCACCGCTCTCTCTACCTCCCACAAGAAGAGAAACATCAGTGGCGCATTCACCGGGATGACATGACGTCTCCAGAGTTTAAAGCGCCAGTAGTGAGCGCTCACGAGCATCGCATAAAAGGACCATCCGCTAAAAGTAATAAAAATGGTGGCCGAAGGAACCTCAAAAAAAGGCACGGCGGCTGCAGCCCCCGTCGCACCCAGAAGAAGAAGATAATTCTGCAGCGTCGTAAACCAACGGCACCCCTCGCCAGAGGAGAAAAAGACGTAAAAACACATGCACCAGCTTGCCACACCGTAGACCCAAGCCATAGTGTACATTAAACGGTACACGGCATCCATCTTTTCCCTTTTTCTTCGTTACCTTTCGGTCCCCATTCGCCAGAAAACCAAAAAAAAGAAGAGACGCGTAGAGAAAACGCGAGTAACACACGCCTGTTACTCAGCCACTGAAGAGAGGAAGACAACACATACGCACATACATTTCCCCCTCACGCCAACCTTTCTCTCCCTCCTCCCCTTTCCTTCCCAGATCCTTTCTTCTCCCTTATGCGCATAAGAAATCTCTCATATGCCGTAAGTTCATCTTTGGCTTGCACCAACAACTTTTCCGTTTCTTTAAGACGCCGCTCACGATCAATGAAGCTGTGCGCCACCTCATTGCATTGCCTGCGATCCTGCTCGAGAGTCGCCCGAACTACCATCAGCTTTGCCTGCTCAGCCTTGAGTGCCGTACTCTCAGCAGCGACAGCCTCCTCCGCAAGACGAGTTTCCTTCGAACGGGCGTTCAACTCCTCCTCCATCCTCGTGAGTTGTACCCGCCGCTCCTCCAACTTTGCAGCTTCGACCAGCAAGGCCATTCGCTGCCTCTCCAGCTCCGCTTCTATCGTCCGCATCTCGTTCTGTTGCACCGATTTGCTCTTCAGAAGATCAGCCTCCGCACTCTCCATTACGCGTGCCCGCGCCTCCAACGCCTCCTCACGCTGGTGAAGTTCGTCACTTTTGCGGCTCAAATCCACCGCGGTGGAAAAAAGGGCTGCTTCTATCGACACCAACCCCCGCCAAATAGCGTCAAGGCCGGCTCCCTCCAGCAGCGGCAAAGATTGCCTCCCCTTTGCCTGAGCCCCCGATCCCTCCTTGTGCTTGCCAACCGGTGTTGTGTCACCCGCAAGCTGTCGTCTATCGGTAAGAAACCTTGCTACACATTCCCGCAATTTTTCGGGATTCACCGCCGTCTGTTGCCCTCTCAAGAAACTAAGTGCGATCGTCCCGTCATCCAGTCCCTCCTCCTGGAGAATGCCCTCCACCTCGTTCTGCAACCTCAGTCTGGCCGTGGCGTCGTTCAGCGATACGCCACCCTTCCGTGCAAGTTGATTAAAAAGAAGATGTGCAGTTTCAGGCCGGACGTGTTCGGAATCGGAAGGAACATCAACCCCAAAGTGTCGACAGAAGTCAATTACCTTCCACGAGATACTCATCGCAGTCCTTGAAAAAACACCTGTAGATGTATGTGTGTGTGTGTGTGTGTGTGTGTGTGTGTGTGTGTGTGTGTGTGTGTGTGTGTGTGCATGGGCGAGTGTAAACAGAAGAAAGGTTAGAGGTGTTCAAAGCAATGCGTGCCCCAATGCGTGGCACTCCCAAAGAAACGTGATGCAAGAAATACAAACAGTTTGCCCTCCATTTCCATCAGCAGCCTTCCTCAGGACCCAACTCCCTAATAAACTCCCTCGCCCGCAGAATACACTGACGCTGCAAGAAACTACCGCTGTTATTGTTAACATTATCCAATTTGGACCGCAACGCCTTCTTTTGGCTCACGTTGCTGCGCCAAAACCTTCTGAGTAGCTCAAGGGTTTCTCGGTTGGTGCTCTCTTTTGGCATCACCCAAGAAACAGATGGTGGTCGGGAAACCTCCTTAAAGGCATGCGGGGGGTGCACATCACATCGTCGGCTCTTCCCAACTCGGCGTGATGTTATCGGCTGCCCACAAAAAAGACGTGCGTGGAAGTGCGGCCCCACCGCCTGCGACGCCTCTGCGGGGCCCAGTTCGTGCAGAACGGACGACCTCACTTTGGGAAGGGCCCTGCCTGACATGACATTGATGCTCGATAGACCCATCTCTTCTCCTCCAGCAGGAACAGGCGCCGCCGTCTCCTCCGGCTCCAGCTCCCGTATTTCTTCCTCCAGAAAGGTGCGTGAGAAGCAGAAGTACTTTCGCACCACCGCCTCCCAAAAGCGTTGCCTTGTCTCCTCATCCGTTACCCTGCGCTCAAATATTTTCGCAAGGACCGGCAACTGGCGAAAAATGTCGCTTTCCAACTGGTCCGTTATGGGGCGGAGTTTGAATGTCTTCGGGTCGAAAAGCGAGCCAATGGCGTCAAAGGCCACCACAACACCGCGTGGAAACTCCTCCTTGATCAGTGCATCCAACGCCGCCTCGTCAAGCAGGCCCAAATCCACAGCCGTCTGGCAGATGGTGGATGCCACCCACTGCCCACCGTCTCCCCCAGCAGACTCCATGCTTTGCAACTCGTCAATGAACCGCTCCCGGTCGTGGGGATCTACAAAACGCATCGTGATGCTCTTGGAGCCAACAACAACCTTCGCGGATGCCTGATCCCGCCGGGAACGCAGCAGCTGGTTGATTTCAGAACGTGAAAAAACAGAAGCTGGAGCGGCCCCATCTCCCCCCAAGGGTGTGCACGAAATCACGTATCCCCTCACCTCCACACGGCATGGCACACCGTCACACACCACCTCCATCTTATTGAAAAACAAGCAAAAAAAAAAAAAAAAGAAGAAAAAAAGAAATAAAAAAAGCATAAAGCAAAACCCTGTTGTTTTTCCTTTTCTTTTTCCTCCAGTTCTTCTTTTCCCCTGTTTCCTCCTGTTATTTCACTCTTCCACTCCTGCGCTTCTGTCAGTGTCCTCCCACATGGGGGGGGATGATACATAATTACATTGTTGAAATGGCTCAAGGGTAGCCACACACACACAAAAAAAAAAAAGAGACTCTCTCTCTCTCTACATATTCGTCTGTATTTCTTTGATGTCCTTCACGCCATGCTTTAACAACACATCCCGAACGGCAACGACATCATGAAGATTCAATACCAAAGAATCCGGAATTTCAATGGTCTCCGCCGTATCGTCTGTGTGAATCACTGTGACATGTCGTCTTGGTCGTCCACTCCTGTAGGCGTCAGTCTCTGGTATCGTCCAGGACCGTTGCACCGTCGTCAAAAATCGCTCATCGTTTTCAATGGCTGGTGAGACATCTGTGTAATACGCTACAAAGTCCTCTAGAGTCACTGTGGAAGTGTCATTCTTTCCAGGCCAACAGTTAACAAAATCAAATATGGCCTCCTCGCAACTTATAACGCCTTCCTCAACGTCAGGCTGCAAAGAGACGTTAAACTTGAAAAGGTTCAGCATGTCTTTGTACTCGACGGACCCACCGCCCTCAATGGTAAGCAGCTGGAAGGCACAGATGACCGCGTCAAGACGATGGGGCGGCAATTCCCCCTGCAGCTCACGAAGGAGCTGCTGAGCAACAATGAGACCATTCCCGTCACGATCAAAACGTTTGAAAATGGCATCCAACTCCATCGGTTGAATTGCCACTCCCATGAGACGGATACTGTGGTGGATCTGCTCACGGTTGAGCTGAGTCGTACGTTGTTCATTACACGCGGTTCCCAGGGCCTTCGACAGCGTACGGAAGCCCAATCGGCCGCCAAAGCGCAGCGAGCCCTCACGAATACGCGCCATGATAAGTTCCAACCCAATGCCGCTGCTCATCGAAAACATTTTATTGGAAAGACCAGAAGAAGACTTCAGCGACGTGTTCACAGATGCCGACATATTCGTCCGGGCCTTGTGCGTTGAGCCTCCAATTATAAACAGATTTTCAGGATGCAATGCCACAGCAGCCAGCGACCTGGAGTGTTTGTTACCCGAAAAGGCGCAACTCACCTCAAACTCGTATCCAAACGACGTATTTTTTAAACTCTTGGTGCAACAAATAGGCCGATTCGTAGAAGCGTGAAACAAGGCAACCGCATCGCCCAAACGCACAGGACCGCCATCGCGGATGTCATCACGTTTTTCACCAGGTTTCACAATAACAAACACGTTATCTTTGTTTGCGCCAAGTACCGCCGTCAGAGGCTGTTTTCCCGGGTGGCCAATGTCGAGAACCCCGGAATTTAAATAACAGAAGCCGTCCAAAGAGGCCTCTTCGTTGGCAATACGCACATGCTGACCGTAATGTAGCACATTTTCCTCCTTTAGCTGCTTTGTGTAGGCGATATTGTTCTCGTCCTTTGCTCGGTGAAGAACCCATGTGGAGCGCACCTGCGGTTGAGGGGTATCCACCGCGGTCACTAAATAATGATTCGGCTTTGGGGAAAATTTTGGTGCCATATCCAGAGCCAACGCTGCCTCGGTGGCGACATTCACCAATTGAAGGGACTGGCCAAGCACAACAAAGTCCTTCAACCCGTCCAAATACGTCTCCTCGCTCAGATTCAACGTTGCATCCCAATGCGTCTTATCTGTTTGGTTCGAAGACCTGTAAAATGTTACCTTATCCTCCCGGACACGCATCTCCTCGTACCAATTGCCGATAAGTACCCCTGGGGAGTACCGCATTGGTATGCCCTCCGCATCCATCTCTTTCCCTTCCTTTTCAGAGAGAAATAACACGGCCAGCCGCCGCAGGAAACTTTTTTGCGTCAATGAGAATCGCACAAAGGAATAAAAGTCATTAGTCCAAAAAGAAAAAAGAAAAAAGCAAGGATGCGTAAAAAAACAATGAAGAAAGAGGAGGGCGGCATGCTTGTCCCCATGCCAGTATGCCGTAAAGCAAGAGGAAGAGCGCACCTCTTATTGTCGCTGTGTTTCTCCTTCTCCCTCCCGCGACGATGTGCAGCCACTACAGCCTCCCACAGTCCACGATGGTTACCCTGCGCGAGGGGAAGCCAGAAGGTGTCAACGGCACGCGCTCAATTTCCTCAACGGCGTCAAACCCCTTTACAACACGCCCAAAACAAATGCACGTCCCGTTTAAGTGAGGAGCCTCTTTTGCCGTGAGAATAAAAAACTGAGAGCCGTTGAGATGAGGCGCACTCACCGCCGTGCCAACGAGACCGCGTTGGTCAAAAACCGATGAACTCACTTCATCCGGAGCATCAAATGTTTCGCCGTATATAGACAGCTGCTCTGTTCCTTGGCCACTCACAACATCCCCGCCCTGAATAAGATACCCCCTGTGCACACGATGGAAGGTAGAGTTCTTGTAAGTGACTTGCGGAAGAAATTGATCCCCAAACGAGGGGTCGCCCATGCCGGCGGTGCTTGGCACACGCGGCAAGACGTTTTCCCCCGTACAAAGCTTCACAAAGTTTTCCACAGCCACAGGGCACTTGCGAGTAAAGAGTTCGTATTCAATTCTTTTGGGCGAGCAGGAGCCAATTGCGACATCCATAAAAACACGTCCGGCAGACGCCAAATGGTGCCTGCTTGAATGCAACATCTTCTTAATTCCCCCTCCCCCCAAAAAAAAGAAGAAAAAAAAAAGAAAAAAAAGAAAAAAAAGAAAACGGAAAGGAAAAACGCATACATGCAGGAAAAAAATTAAAAAATTAAAAAAAAAAAAAAGAATAGAAAAAGGCACAAAAACAGTGACCGCAAAAACATATGCGTCGACCATCCCTTTTCACTTTTCGTCCTCCCTCTCCGTTGAGAGCCATTGCTTCCCATGTCATTTTCCCCTATTCTTTTTTTTTTTCGTTGTTGTTGTTTTGTTGTTGTTGTTGTTGTTGTTGTTTATTCGTATGTATCCTTTGCCTTCTCGTCTTGAAATTCTAATGTATTTATCTATATGTCTATATTTATGCGCATTGGTGCGTGTTTTCTATGGAAGTTCCTTTCGTATGACCTGAATGCATGCTTATCCCGCGATGAGTTTTTTTTTTTTCGTTGCCGACGCACCCTTCTTTTTGTTGTTGTTATTTGGCTCTTTTGATTGACGGTCATTCACTGCCCTATGCCACCTCGGCGGCCAAATTGTGGAGCTCGTCGGGGGACAGTTGGCCGCTTACCAGACCGTTGGCGACGTGCTCATCCGCGTGGTGCCACGACCAGCCAGGCTCCATCGACACCTCCCGCCAGTCGTCCCACTCATAGTAGTTGACGCACACAAAGGCATTTTCGGGTGACAACGTCTTTATTCGCCCTGGCTTCAGCCGTGCAAGCTCGTCTATGGTGTGTGCGTAGAGGGGGGCGGCCTTTCCGCCAAGGCACCAGCCAATTAAGTGATTCTTATGAACCACCATGGGCGGGCACGTCGGGCCATCGCCCGCCACCCGGAATGAGAGGGAGCGCAGGTGGCGCATCACTCGCTTCACGCCTGGGGAGCCCAAAGGAGCCGCCTCGTGAGGCATGGAGTCGTAGTGCGTGCCCGGCCGAGGGCTGACCACGAGTCCCAGCACACCCCTGGGACGGTGGAGCAGCCAAACAGCACGCCGAACGTCATTGGCCGACTGCGAGAGGAGAAGGTTCGGAGCCGGTGACTGTTGTTCCAGGGACAAACCCCCGCACTTGGCGGCCCGCAACACACCGCCCCGATTAGCGGCTGCGTTCATGCGGGAATAACTCACGACGGCCTGATATGCCCACGGCATCGCGCTATTCGCCATGGCCACCCGCAATTTCCAGAGGAGAAGCCCACCCACTCCGGCCCTCTTTTCTTTTCACAGGTTTGCCTAATACACCCGGTTGGGACGAGCACCAGGCAAGCCACAAAAAAAAAAAAAAAAAAAACCTTCAAAAATAATTATAAACAGACCAAAAATAAAGAAAAACAAAAAGGATGTGCTTGAACTGACAAGAGACGGGTGAAGGGAAGAGATCCGAACGGGGGGAATTCCCTTCCTTTCCACAAGTTCAGCACTCAAAAAGCGCATGCACAGCAGTACAGAAACACACCACTGACCAAAAAAAAAAAAAAAAAAAAAACCTGGAGCTCAACCCACACCACTGCTAACAACAAGTAGAAAATAACAGTCTTTACCAGACGACATACACAGATACACATAAATACAAAAAAAAAAAAAAAAATTTAGTAAGAAGGCAATAACCGACACGGGAAATGCTGTTTTGCCTCACCATTTACCAATAAAGGGGTCTAAAGAGGCAAATATATCATTTTGTGGCTCGCTTTTGGTTTTCACTGGCTCCGTTTTCGTTGATTCAGAAGAATTGAAATTTCCCCATGGATTTGCGGGAGGTTCCTGAAAGAAGTCCACCCCGCACATATTCATCAGCGTCGCAGAACCCCCTGAAGGCGTCTGGCCCTGAGCAGTCGGTGCTTGGTAGGGCACGCCATTGGGCCCCGCCGGAGGACCCATAGAAAAGGCATATTGAAATTGTTGTGGTTGTGGTTGTAGCTGAAAGAAATTACCACGTGTCATCCCGCCGTATCCCTCTTGCTGCACGTCAAATGGACCCTGAAATCCGGGCTGAGATAACATGTTTGGCGGATACTCCATTTGTCCAGCAGATAATGGTTGAGAAGTCGAGTAAGGTCCAGGCCCCATTGTAACGCCCGGGGGGATGGAAACCGGAATATTGACGTGCGGATGTCCAGAGGTAACGGAATTGAGCCAGCCATCGAGCGGCCTCTGTGCAGTGGGAACATCTGCCGCGACGCTGGAAGCAGGCGGTGCGGCAGCGGCTACAAACTCGGCAAATAAATCGTCATCTGTTGTAGGCGCAGAAAAATTGACGGGAGCAGATGACGAAGTTTGTGGCGTCGACTGTTCAAATAACTCCACCTGCGGCCTCGGAGCGGAAGACAAATCCTGCAACCCCGTCGAATAGGACGATGGCTCTGGCGGCAATGGCTTTTCTTTCGTTGGCTGCTCCGGCGGCAACGATGTCAGTGGCCGCTGCGGCCCGTGCTCCGGTAAAGGCAGATTCATCGTGTGTGGCAAATGGCAGCAGGGCGCTCCGGTGCCAACTGCCTTCAAATCATTTTGAAATCGCTCCAATTCCTCACGATTGACGTATGCCATGTTTTCAAAAGCATTCACAATAAAGTCCCTGACGGCAATATCGCTGCCGTGTGGGGGCTTATTATTCTCATAGCTGGCGAGCCACACCCTCGCCGCCCTGTCGTTGCCGCCGACGTTCAGGCAGGCAACCTCCTCGTCGGTAAACTCCGTCATGGATATTCCCTTCACTTTGTGCTGCAGCGAGCGGTGCAACGCGGCACATGTTGAGCAGACAAAAACACGAAAGTTGGTCACCACGTAAAGTGGCCCTCTTATGCCGCAATCGATGCAGAAGCGGTTCCCACACTTCTGCGATAGTTTCCGCACCTCGTCCCTGTTGCGCTCCACCCGCCGCGCAAGCGGATTCATCGTGGCGTTCTTCGCCTCCCTAATATCGTTCTCGCTTCTGGCAGGCACAAGCAACACGCAAAAAAAAAAATTTATCAAGTACCCCAATAGCGCCAAAACAAACACAACAAATAGCGCACCAGCAAGAAGGAGCATAAAGCAAAAATACATATATATATATATATATATATGATCCAAACGGGGAAAAAAAAAAAGCCACAAACCAAAGATGCCATCACCACGTTATTGGCAGCTCAGCAGGGTGACGACTATGATAAGAGGTCCTATCCGCCTCTGCCAGTAATTCCCTACTTCTTATATGCATGCACACTTGGCACTGCGTTGATCATCATATCTTCTTTGGCAAATGCAACTGCTGCTACTATCATTTCATAGTGGAGGGGAGGGAAAGGAGAACCAAAATCAACTCCAGGCAGAACTTGTGCCTCTACAACTCGGCAGATCTCCTTTTAAGGCAAAGCCAAGGCCGAATGCGGTCAGAGAGGTAAAGGCCAAGCATAGCACCAGTGAGCAGGGAAGGGGCCCAAACGGCCACAGTAAAAGCTGAAAGATACGACGCATTTTCTTTCATGCGTGAGTCTTGGCACGAAAAACCACGAGACGGGTCGGCTATTGCATCGGGAACAGAACCGCATTGTAACCCTGGGCACTTTGAGCGGTACATATGGCAGAGTGAATCAACGGGGGGTGCAGCGTCGCCGTCGCAGCTAGCGTCTGCAAGAGCAGAATCGGTGACAAAGCACTGACCATCGGTAGCGCCAAGAGAGCTGAAATAGCGTTGCATGTCCTCCATGGGGCAACCGTTAACAGCGGTGCTGGACATGTACGTATTGCCTTCTGCGTCCATGCACTTAACGTCAAGTGGTTTGCCCGTGTAGCCGCGACTGCCTGCGCCTCCTGAAGTCCAAATGATCTGATAAACCTGAACGTATTGCTGTGTTCCTGTGGTCTTGTACTCAAACGCGATGGCATCACCAAACTGCGGCAAAGGAGTGGCACCCTCTGTCAGCGTGTTCTTCGCGTCAAAGGCACCCAACCCGCTGAGCGCAGCGAATACCACCGGCATTGACCCAACGTAGAAGGCAAGACGGACCTTGTTGTCGTTGGAGGAAAAACTTGACATCACCTCGCGAAGAAACGGACCGGCCAAAGGACCCATGTGTCTTTTGATTGGATCTCCGGGGTCCGCACCGTACAGGCGCCAAAGAAGGCGGCGACTAACAACCCCCAGGGCGGCCAACAGCGGTTGCAAAGTTGCATCCGTGCGTCCCTCGGAGGCATTGACACACCAACTGTCGTAGACGTAGAGCGCACACAGCGACGGTAAACTTTTGCACAATCCCTCGTTGTCGGGTGGGAGAAAACGAGAAATCGTTTTAATATCCTCCTCGTTAAGTTTCTCCGAGAGCCACGCGTCATCCAAATGAGAGCTGGACTTCCATACTTCCTGCAGGATCCATGACGGCCAGCTCTTCGTAAAGGCCAGCACCTCGTCATTCCGCTGAGGAGTGTACTTCACAAGCGGTAATGCTTGGGGAAACATGCCCAACGTAACGCCTTTTCCCATGGCAATCGTCCTTGATGTCTCTTCAGCACGAAATGACACAACTGTTGTGTTGAGGTGGTTGCCAAGGTTCAGTAAATTGCCGTAGCGCAACAGAAGAAACTCGCCAAGTCGGAAAGACATTTCTTCCCCCACAGGAGATAACTCGCATGCATCACAAGTTATTTTTACATCCCTGAGACTCGATAGGCCCCGTGCACCGTTCCGAGCAAGTATTGCAACCCTTTGTAGCGTCAAACCCTGTCCGCTGACTGCGTAAGGCAGCCCCACCACAAGCAGCAGAAGCAGCATCATTAGTCGCATTTGCATTTTTTCACTTCCCATTTAACCTCTTAACAAATAAAATTAAAAAAACAAGCACATGCACACACACACACACAAAAAAAAAAAAAAAAAAAGGAAAAAGATGTTGTGCAAACACGCACATGCACACAGAAATCGGCGTGCATGTGTGCGTTTCTGTAATTCCTATTCACTCTTATTTGTTTTATTTTTTTTTTTTTTATTTTCACTCCCGCGCCCAAATACGAAGCACGAAAACCCCCTCGCAGCCCATACGGCGGCCGCAGTACATAAATAGGACGGGAGGATCACAAATACAACTGTGGAGCGAATCCCCCCTTTGGAGAAGTGCGACGGGTTCACTTTGCCGGCGGTTCCCCTTGAATAAAACGCTCTGTACTCATTGCCCACTCCTCCTGCGGTAAAACACCCCAGTGCGGACTGGGTGTCTTTCTAAGCCATTGAAAGTCATCGACTGTTTTATACGAGTTTGCCGTGTGCTCATCGATTCGCTGCTCCCCGACACGCCCCACCCACTCTTCGTGCGTGGCGTAATTGTGCCCCTCCACCGTCGAATGAAGAAGTCCTGTCCAACAACTGTAAGGCCCAAACCGCATCTCGCTGCAGCACTCGATAATCGGCGTCGATGCACACCAGACGTAAACATCGATATTCGTGGCGTTTTTTAGCCGAAGCTGGTGGCATGCAACGTATACCCTGCAGTTTTTGCAGTCAGAGATAAACACGGTTCCGGGGACGGGCAAGATCAATATCTCACAATTCTCACACGCTCGCAAGAACACGGCCTTCGATGGCCCAACGAAAAGGGTCCGGTCACGGGCATATCCGTACACATTGCTAGCATGACTTTGCTCCTCGTTGCTCCTCTGCGTTGCAGAAGCTGCAGCCTGCATCTCCATAATCACTGCACCCTTCGCCTTTGGTTGAGAAGAGAACTTGAATGCCTTCGCTCGATTCGTTGTGTCACGCTTGGCATCAATAAGCGCCTGAAGTCGTGAAAGGGTCGCATTTGACCTGGCCATTTCGTGAGACGTCAGTACGTTGTTGCTTGTGGCCTCCTGCACAAGCAGTTTAAAGCGGTTCACGCCCTCCTGAGCAGCACGGACACCACCGTCGGCAATAAATTGCATGACGTCCCGCTCAAAGTCCCTGGCCTGCTGCTCAAACTCCAACTTGTCCCACGTGACGGAGGAGGGAACAGCCGTCTTCTGCTGCCGCGCCTCTTCCCGCTCCGCACGAGTCTTCAGGAACCTCTCCTCCATGAATACGTACCCTCTTTTTTTTTTTTTTTGCGTTTGCTGACGGAGAGAGATGCCAAGAGAAAAAAAAAGCAAGAGGGGAATATATGGTCGTTTATGCATCCACACACGAACATAAATTTTTTTTTCCTTCTTTCCCACTCTCTCTCTCTCTCTCTCTATGTGTGTGTGTGTGTGTGTTTCTTAGAGAAGAAACAAAAGTAGGGTTGTAAATCGTACTCCTCCCTTTTAAGAAAAGGTAAAAAAAAAAAAAAAATTTTGCTATCTGTTTCCGCTTCCGTTCGCTCATCTCATGAGAATAATTAAAAAGGTGAATCGGCGAGACACACACGCAGCGGGGACGACGTGCCGACATGTGTTTATTTCCCCCTCCCATCCTCTTGATAACACCTCTCACCGACAGCGACAAAACATGATTCCGATACCCACACACAGAACCCCGCGCAGCTTCACGTATCCGCATCGACCCGCATGTAACGAAGGAAAATGTTCCTCAGAACATCCTTGTCAAGTTGCTTGCCCAGGATGAGCACACGTGAGCAACCCATTGGAACGCTTTGTCCCTCCATTGGTCTGACGTCAAAGAGTTCCCCGATTGTTTGGAGTTGTAGGAGGGAATATTGCCCTGCCTTCTTCACCCAAAGCGCCGCCTTGGACCGCACCACTTCAAAGGGTGGATCGTGATCCTTGTAGAGCAGATCCCTGCAGATCAAGTCCACATCACCTGTGTCACGCAAAGCCAAGAAATTCGGCTGCTCAAAGAACTCCAGTGAGACGGCTGTGATGCCTGAAGGAGCATCCTGGTGCAAGTGTCCCAGTTCCACGAGCCGGCGTGTTGTGTTCAAAAACAATATCTCCTGCAGGTTCTCCAGCCTGGAGAAAGACGAGTGGATCACCTGTACAACAGGGTTGATGCACCTTACCTCCGCCAGCGCACGGCTCTGCTCCTCTTCCGTTGCAATGTCGCACTTGTTGAGAATGACGCGGTCCGCCATGAGGATCTGTCGCGCCGCCTCCCCCGATACCACCGGGTCATGCAAGTACCTACATATGTTCTTCGCATCAACCAGTGTCAGGATTCCCGAGAGAAACAGCGATCCACACACGGCTTCATCCTGCCAGAACATGGCGGCGACCGGACCGGGATCGGCGAGACCGGATGTCTCCACCAGCACCAGGTCAAATGTTCCCTTTCGCGCCATGAGGCTCTCCAGCGCCTTCACCGTCTGGGACTGGGCCGTGCAGCACATGCAGCCGTTGTTCAGTTCCAGCCACTCGTCGTCCGGCTTCTGGGAACTTTTGAGGGTCAACCCCTTCTCGATCGTCTTGCCAAACTCGAACTCGTTCACAATGACAGCAATTCGTAGGTGGTGTTCGGCGGAAAGCACGTAGTGGAGCAGCGTTGTTTTGCCGCTGCCGAGAAACCCCGTCAAGATTGTGACCGGGACTTTGGCGCTGATGAGCTCTGGGCAGTCCTCCCCATCCTCCACGGCGCTCATGACTCCCCCTCCTTGCGTCTCACCTACCCGTACAGACCCCTCAGCCCTGCCAAAAAGAAAAAAAAAAAGAAAAAAAGGAAAACAGACACAAAGTGATGCACGCGCGTTTGAAAAAACGAACTCCGACACACTGCACAAGATTAAAAAAAAAAAAATGCGTGTGATCGCGTGAGCAACCGGAGGCCGTGAATAAACTGTTTTTGCATGGTTTGAACCGTGCATCCACTCATTGCAAAGGACTCGCTGAGCCAAGTTCTTTAGAATTCTTCGCTTCCTCCTCGTCCAACCTCTGTTCCAATCGCTGTATAAAGGCAGCATAGGCAGCATCCATGTCAAACTTTTCAAGCTCCGTTTTTTTACGGCATGTCCCTCTCAATGTCGACGTAGTGGAAGGCGTGACAGTTCGCCGAGGCTCCACAGGGAGCAATACTGGCGACGGCGAGGAAAGCGGAGTTCCCTCCCCCAGCAGCAGCTCCCTCGGCTCTGGTAACGTCGCCACGAGTGGCTTCGTGGGCTCCGTGTATGGTGTCACCTGCGGCATCCCAAGGGACGCCAGGTACTCAATCCGCCGGCATGTTTCGTAGTATGTCACTGGGACGCCTACAGGTGTCGTTTGTTGGTTCTTGCCCAAAATATCACTCATCAAAAGGCTAACCCTCTTCCATAAACAATGAGAGAGGCAGTGGTGAGGGATGCGTGCACGTGTGCATGCAAATAAAAAAATAAGAGGAAGAAAAAAAGGAAAAAGATAAAAATTCAAAATTAAAAAAAAGAGCATAAATGCCATAAACTGCAGCCATCGCAGGGTATTCGGAGGGGCGGTGATCCGCTCGGTAGTCCCCCGTTGCTGTGTGGACGGGCTGGAATTTTAATTATTATCCGCGTCTTTCCCTCCCTCCACCCATCTCGTAATTGTTCTCAGTTCCTCGTGCGACCCGTATTTTCCTTTTGTCCCCCGCCACCCGTACGCGAGAACTTCAAAAAAATTAAAAAATTAAAAAAGAATAAATAATAATAAATAAATACGTTCATTCTGCCCATATACCGAACTACAAAAAGACACTATACGTTGGAAACACAATCTCTCTTTCCTTCTCCGTATGAGAAGGTGCGTCTAGGAGAATGCGTGGAAGAAAATCGCTGAGGTCTTGGTCCTTTCCATAAAGCTTCGACATGGACTTCGATGTGCCACACACCCGCACAGGATTCGACTTCTCCAACACAGGGGAACTACGCCGTTGGGTGTGGCAATACTGAATAGCGGGGTACAAGTCAGCGTCACCGCAGAGAAGCACCACCTGTTCAAACTGTCGATGGAGAAATATTTCAATGACACAAGTTGCCATGGCGACATCAACGCCTGTTTGAACCCACACATGTCGAGGTCCATCGCGGGTGTACCCTTTCTGCCGCTTCATTCGTCCAATGAGACGAGAGACGACGTTGCCCAGTTGGCGGCCGCTATTCATCTCGTCCAACAGCAGTCGTTTGCGAAGATGGCTTTCACGAAATGCCTTTTCCCTGTGTGGCAGAGGCATGGAGTTCTCAATGTACTCCGTCATGGCAGCTGGATCCGTGTCAAACCAGTACGCGACGGGATCCTTCTGAAATATGTCTCCAATAAAGTCCAGGGTGTAGCGCAGAACCTCCACGGTAAGTTTGTACTGCTCCTCATCGCGGCGGTCGTGACCCTTCAAAATGCGTTCAAAGTAGCCCCCATCAACAATAACAGCAACACGGCCGTCACGCTTCAAATTGCTTGATACAAACGCAGGCACAACTTCCGAAGGGGACGTGGAGGTTGGGTTCAACTGACACCGCTTTTCATGCTCGCCCTCGCTATCGTTCAAAGACGCCTCTCCCGCTGAACTGCCATCTGCGTGTTCCTTGACCAGAAATGGCCCCTCGCAACTCTCGATGGAATGCGGAGCTTTGTAATTGATAAATCGAGACTTTAAACAGGCGCTCGCTGTGTGACCCCTTTCGTGGCAAAGATTGCAAACGGCCTCCGGACACTGGGCAACAAGGTGTCCAGCCTGATTACACATATGACACAACGCCGTCTGGGTGCACTCTGCCATCTCGTGTCCAGGCTCCTTGCAGCGGTAGCAAACACGGCCCTTTGGCTTCATGGGGCAGTCCGTGGATCGGTGCCCGGCTAAAGAACAGTGAAAGCAAAGTGGTCTGCTGTAGCAGAGCTGAGAACTATGGCCGTAACTACCGCAGTTAAAACAGCGGGTCAAAGGGCAAGTCGGCGCCATATGGCCCCGTTGGTGACACTGAAAACATTCAACAGACTGAGAACGAAGCGGACAACTGGCTTTCACGTGCCTCGAGGATCCGCAGCTTCGACAAACAGACACTTCGCCGTCCTCCTCCGCCCGTGCACGCTTCTTTTCACTCGGGCAGTCCTCCTTGAAATGCCCCAGTCGTCCACAGGCCCGGCACGTCACCAACGGACAGTCCCTACGAAGATGATCCGTCGCCGAGCAGTTACTACATGTAAGACCCCTAGACTTTATAACTTTTGTTTCCTTTTCTCTATTTCCCTCCCCCTCCATTTCCCAACACACACACACACACACACACACAAACGGAAATAGAGATAGAGACTCTACACCGTGATCCTACAGTTTATCACTCCCACCAACAACGGAGAGCAGAAATAAGTAGATGAAGATCCTTGCAGGAATCATTCATGTTTTAAACCCCCCCACTCCCCCTCTCCCGCCTTCCACCAAGGAAATAATGACAGCAACAACAAAAAACACCACGCACAAACGCATACACACACAGAGACAAAAAAAAAAAAAAAAAAGGCAACGTCCATGTGAATATCTCTCTCATGTCGCAGGCATCAATCTAGCCACTGGAAAAAAGAACACTTTCGAGCAGCACATGTGAGAAATCGCTTTCCCTTAGAGACTTCCTTCCTCGACACCAGCTGCTTCGCGGGTACACCACACTCACACAAGGTGCCGGTAGCGCTCCCCTTCGCCGGTTTACTCCGGTTATTTGCCTCCCTTCCTCTTAAAGAAGGCAAACTGTAGGGTGCCGGATGCTCTTGTTGTGGTTGTTGCTGTTGTTGGTTCGCATGCTCACGATCTGCTGTATGGTCATTGTCCCGCGTAAACCCTCCCTTCACCGAGATGTAGTCCTGCAAACGGCCATCGCAGAAGACACACACGCAATCACCCTCCTCCAGGCCGGGGACACTCGGCATACCACCAAAATTAAACTGGAGCATAACAGCCTGACACGATGCGCAACGCATCGTCGGAGTTGGACGAACTCCCTTCGCCCACGGGAGGGTCACAGAAAAAGTGCAACCAGGAAAGCCACGACAACTCAAGAAGGCTCCTCTTGAGCCGGTGCACAAACGAATATCATTCTGTTTGCACGCACTACACCGCGCGATAGCCACACTTTCAATTCCCTTCGCCAACGGGCAGTCGGCAAGACACTGAAAACAACGAAACCCTGTAAAAGACTCCATGTCAGTGCCGGGAGGCGGCGATGTAAAACAGTACGGACATACCGTGTATGAAGTCTGCTTCTCTGTATTTCGAATTTCAAGGACACCAAAGCCACAAAGGATACACGACTGTCCACATGAACTTAACTGATTAAGGCGGCCATTTGGTACTCGGTAGTCCTTAAGACATGTATGACAACGCACACACCAAGTGTCACGTTCACCCTCTGTTTGCTCGATGAGATCCATAGGATTCTTACAGACCCCACAGTGCACCAATCGACGCTTTTCAATGCGACCTGTGCCATACGCATGTGTACCTGACGTCTGTGGTGCAGCGGGAGAAAGATGACAGCACAACTCCTCATACATCTCCTTACTTCCCAAAGACAACTTCTGGAAGACCTCAGTATAAAGTTTAACCGCGGCATCGACCACTTGTGCTTTACTGGCCTTCCCCGAGACAATATCGGACATGGCAAGCTCCATTTGTGCTCGCAACTGTGGCTGAAGAAGACTCAAGAGTCCAATCACCTCGTACGCCGAGGCCAGTGCGATACCCAAAGCGGTAGGGACCAAAAAAGAACCTTCACGCTTCACATACCCCCTATCAAGAACGGTTTTGATGTGCTGTGCTATCGTGGCATCGGTCCCAATGCCGTGCTCATCCATGAGGGCAATAAGAGCTGTCTCAGTGAGGTGCGGTGGGGGTGTTGTTCGATGCTTTTCAAGACTAATATCCTTCGGAACAAAACGTTCGCCCTGCTGGTAGGCCGGTAGGCAGGTACTGTGCCATCGTTCATACGGGTACACCTCGAGCCATCCCTTCTCAAGAATCGCCGTGCCAGAAGTTGTGAATTTCTCTTCTCCGAACACTGCAGTCACAGCCGTCGTGGCAGCCACCGCATCTGGCGAGAGACAGGCAAGAAAATGCCGGACAATGAGATTGTACAGCGCGCTCCTGTTGTCGTGCTTGGCCCGCATCAATTTGGTCGGGTAGATGGGGGGATGCGCCTTGTCGTCGTGACCACCCTTGAGAGGCCGACGAAACTTGTGTGAGGAATCGTCCAACATGGCACCCACGTAGTCTGCAACCTCCGGGTTCTCGCGCTGCACCCCCGCAATCTCCCTAAGCTCATCGTCCGTAAAAGAGAAGGAATCTGTCTCTGTGCGGGGATAAGAGATGAATCCCTCCTGGTACAAGGACTCTGCCCACGTCATGCATTGCTCCGATGAAATATGCAAATGCGTGGCTGCCAGCTTCTGCAGCGCAACGGTGGCCAGTGGAACAGGCGGATGTCGTCTGGTGGGCCGTCGCACGACATCCACGACCAGCGCCTCGGCGTTTGGGCCGGCCGACTCCAACATCGTCTCCAACACGAGTGTTGCTGCGAGCTGATCAAATACAGACCCCCGGCAGCCGTGGAAGACAGTTTGCCCGTGACGCATCACCAAAGTAAAAAAGTCCTCCTGCACAAATCCCTCCCGCTCCCGGTGGCGGCGAACGACAAACCCGAGCGTCGGGATCTGGCACGGCCCAAAGCTGAGTACACGTGGCATCCCGCTAAATGCATCACGGAATTTGATGGTCTGAAAGCGCGAGAAGACGGCGCCAATGCGCAGGTCAATTTCTTGTCGTGCCTCCACCGCGTCTGAGAGGGCTTTGTTCGGTGCCTTGAGGCTCCGCACCGCCGATAATAAATCCCGTCTCGTCAGCGCGGAGAAATGTGCCCGGAAGATGCTGATGCTCCTGTTGACCCCCTGAACCACCTGCATCACCTCAAAACAAATATTTTCCCCCTCGCGGTCGCAATCCATCCACAGCACCAAATTTGAGGACCGCCTGCCGAGCGCCTCCAAGTTCTTCTTCACCGGCTCCATCTCCGGCTTCACGTGCTTCGTGATGCTGGCGGTGAACAGATTGACGAGCGGGTAGTTCTGCCAACTCCTTGTCTCCGGCGGGAACTCGTCGTTCATCAAGTGCCCAGCAACGGAGGTGCAGAGCATCTGCTTCCCCTCAAAGTCAAACTCGAAAACGGGGTTGAAGCGGGAGAGGGAGTTGCCCATCCTGCAGGTACCGTTGGACAAAACTAACGATAACTCCTTCGCAACGCTTGGCTTCTCTGCAACATTCAACCATGTCGGCATCACCCGACCAATCCCCTCCCCTCCCTCTCTCTCTCTCTCTCTCTGCGTGTGTGTGTGTGTGTGTCTCTTCTTCAGTCTGCATGTGAATTGGTGTGCGTGTGGGATGGAAAAGGGGAAAGTAGCAACAATGAGAAGCAAAAGGGGATGGCAGCAAACAAGAGGATTGCCCGCAAACACACACACACACACACATAGAGAGAGAGAGAGAGAGAAAAAGTAAGATAGTGAGAGAATACCTTTTTTTTTTTTTCTCTAAAAAAAAAAAAAAAAAAATTTGTAAAATAATCAGCGACAAAGAGCTCCAAAGAGTAGTGGCACAAAATGACAAGCTAGAATAAAAGACAACGCAAATAATAAATAAATCAATGAAGAAAAAAAAAAAAAGAAAGAAAGCAGGTAAACAAAGTAACGGCCGAAGCAACAACGACGCTGCCGATGTCACAATGTTGACAGGGTAAAAAAGAAAACACACGACATATACGTAAAAACATTTATATATAAATAAATAAATATATATATATATATGTAGGTTTCTCACAAGAAGAAAGGCAAAGGCAAGCGGCTCTTACTGCGACCATCCCTACTTTGCTTTCCCCCCTCTAATTGTCAACAGATTCGCCGCCCGTCTCCTGTTTTCTTCACCACCACCACCACCACCACCCTCTCTCTCGTTCTTCTCCATTATTTTTTTTTTTTTCCTTTTCTTTTCCTTTAGTCCCAAGTGCATTCACACAGGAGCAGACACACAGAAAAAAAAGTGGGGGGAGATTCACGTCCATCTTGCCGCCCAGCCACCTCCTCTCCCCCGTCTATGCGTCGATAGATATTTATTCCTTTGCGGGTGTCTGTACTGCGCTGTACAACAGCCCCATCTTCCTCCTCGCCTTCCATCCCTTCAACCCCTCTCTGCTTCTTCCTCACGTTGGCCTTCTCCTTAGATATAGATATAAGATTATTATTTTTTTTTTTTTTTTTTGCTTTCCTTCCTTCGTTGTTGTCTTTCCTCTTCTTCTTCTTTTTCGCATTCGTTTTTGCTCCTCCGCCTCCTCTTCCACTCACTTGTCTGCTTCGATGATATTCGTATTGCTGATAATGGATCTACCACACATACCGCACCTCAGGTGCGTCTCCCCTTCTTTCTCTTTCTTTCTTTCCTTCGTTTCTTCTTTTCCCTTTCCACCCTCCCCCCCCTTTCATTTTGTTTTTTGTTTTATTTTTTCCCCTCTCTCTTCGTTTCCTTCATTATTCCACACAATCTCCTGTTTTTTTGTTTTGTTTTGTTTTGTTTTTTGGTTTCTTTTTTGATTTCAGTCAATTCATTTTACGTCAGCGTGTCCCGCTCCCCTCCTCAATGTATGGGTGCAACGTCGTCGTGTGTAGCCCGGCGTGGTGGCGGTGGTATCTCTCTCTCTCTCTGTCTGTCTGTCTGTGTGTGCGTGTGGGTCCCGCCCCCTCAACTGGATGGCTGTTCATCCGTCCAGAGGTTCAAATTGTCGCGCAGCAGGCGCACAATGAGGTTCGACTCGCGGTACGCCTCGTCATCAAGGGTCTCGAGCTCCGTGACGGCCTCATCGTACGCCTGGCGCGCAAGCTGAAAGCCCTTCTCATGCTCCTTCATGATCTCGTAGTAAAAGACAGAGAAGTTCAGCGCAAGGCCAAGACGTATCGGGTGCGTCGACGCGAGTGATGAATTCGCCACCTCCGTCGCCTTTGCGTATGCGTCAAGGGCGGCCTGTCGCTGTCCTGCCTCCGGCGCAATCTCGGCGTAGTAGCGGTGGTAGTCGCCCTTCATCTTGAGGTAGAACACCTTCACCTCGCCGCCCTGCGAGGCGGGGATGAGGTACGTGTCCAGCAGTGCAAGCAGGTCGTCGCAGATCGCCGCGAGCTCCGCCTCAAACTCCTTCCGCAGTGAGGCAATGAGTTGTAGGTTCTCGCTCTTTTCCCTCGCACTTTCACGGCTCTCAATGGAGGTGATGATACGCCAGGCGTTGCGGCGGGAGCCAATGACGTTCTTGTAGGCCATGGAAAGGAGATTGCGCTCCTCCGTGTCGAGCTCGCTGTTCAACTTCACCAGCTTGCGCATGCACAGCACCATCTCGTCATAGCGCTCCGCCTCTTCTGTGAGCTTCGCCATGAACACAAGCTCCTTCGCACTGTCTGGGAGCTTGAACTCCAATGGGCTCTTCTTTGGGACGAGCTCGTCCTGAATAGCCGCGTTGTGCCACTTGATTCCTTCCGCCATTGTTTAATAATTCGCGGTAATAAACACGACAATTGTTTTTTATTTTTGTTGTTGTTTTTCTTTTCTTTTTTTTTTCTTTTTATTTCCTATTTACGTGTCAGTGATGCGGTGGCACCCCTTTTTTCTCTTTTTCTCTTCTTCTCTTTCTTCCTGTCAGCGGTCCCCGTTTATTTTTGTCGTCCCCGATCCTGCCGTCGTCTGCTGCTGCTGCTGTGGGGAGGGGAAATTATTTATTTATTTATTTGTGTGTGTATTTGTATGTGTGCGTGTCGCTTGCCTTTAAAAGTATTTTTGTTGCTTCTCTTCTCTCGCGGTGTTGTGGCGCCCACACCCGTGTGTGTGTGTGTGTGTGTGTTGGGAGAAGACAAGGGAGAGGGGGGATGTCAGCACACAAGCGGCAGACACCCACACGGCGGCAGGCGGCAGGCGAAGGAAAAGGGAAGAAGCGGGCGCAGCAGCGCGCAGATGGAAAAAAAAAAAAAAAAAAGGGGGTGTGGGGGGAGGGGGGGGCGGCAAACGTCACACGCAAACAAATAAACAAAAAAAAATTCACGCAGGAAGGGGGCGCACACAAATTTGTCCATTTCCCCGTGAGGGCCACGCGAAGGGCCGGTCAGCAGAAAAACAAACAAAAAAAAAAGAGGAGGAGGAACTCTCGCATTTGTCGTCGTCTCCTCTTCTTCTTCTCCCCACTCTCTCCGTGAGCCGCACTTCCCTCCCAGCCAGCGCTTTCCTCAGCCCAACCACGCGCGCCAGCAAAACAAATGTAATGGCACGAAGACAAAAAGAAGGAAAACATAAAACAAAAACGGAAAGGGGAAAAAAAAGGCGGGGGGGAAGTAATTTATTTCTTCGGCAAGTACATCTCCTCCGCCTCAAGATATTCGGGAAGTCGCTGCAGTCGGAAGACCTCCTTCACCGACGCAATGTTCTTCCCCACCGCTACAACCGACTCCTGCTCAAATATCATCCGCGTCGAGGCCTGCATGGCGGCAATGCAGGCCCGCAGGTTGTGGTTCGCCCATATGACGGTGCTAATCCCGATCTCGCGGAAGTGGGCGCACGGGACGCTGGCGTAGCTGGTGGGCACAATGACAACGGGCGTCTTATTATCCCAATGGCCCATGAAGGCGTCAATCTCGGAGGAGTCCTTCTTCTTGCTATGAATGAGTACGGCGTCGGCACCCGCCTCGGCATACGCCGTAGCACGCTTCAATGCCTCCTCCAGTGGCCAGCCAGCAATGAAGGACTCGACGCGTGCCACAACGCAAAAGTTTTCATCGGTTTGTGTGTCCTTCATGGCGCGAATCTTCAGCGCAAACTCCTTCACATCCGCGAGCGGCTGTGCCCCCCTCTCATCCAGCAGACTATTCGTCTTGGGGAAGAGCTTGTCCTCTACGCAGGCACCGGCTACACCATTCTTCTCCAGCTTCCGCACGAGCAGCCTAGCGTTGTTGAAGTTTCCGTAGCCCGTGTCGGCGTCCAGCAGGATGGGAATACTTGTCGCATCACTCATCTGCTCGGCAACATCACACACCTGCGTCCAACTCGCTTCGTTGTTGTCGCGGAACCCCATTTGGGCGGATATCGAGAGACCCGAGGCCCAAATTGCCTTAAATCCCGTCTCCTCCACAATGCGGGCGGAAAGACCGTTGTGCGCCTCCATCATGAAACTCAGCTCCTTGGAGCGCAGCATGGACTTTAACATCCTTGCCTTCTGTGGCAGACCACAGCAGTGACGCATATGGAAAAGATATGCCCTTTATTATTATTATTATTATTATTATTATTATTATTAGTAATTTATTTATTTATCTATTTATTATCGATTATTTATAATTCTTTAACCTTCCAGCGTATCTTCGACCCATTACACCGCAGACAAAATCAAATAAAAGCAACAAGAAGACATTAATAGCAGTCGTATCATTAACATACAAATATATATATATATATATGACGGCAATTTGCCATGGCCATGGAAGGCCAAAGAAACAGGGACCACAATGAGTATATATAGATATAGATATATATAGATATAGATATATAAGCTTAATAATTAAGCATTCCTCTAAAATGCGCATCCTGCGTGTGCCCTTCAATATCTCACTCATTCACATACAGAGAGAAAGAGAAATGGACACATGTATGCACTGTTGCATGTGAACATCAAGTGAGTAAAGAAGAAATATATATATATATATTTATATTTCCCATGTATGTATGTATGTATGTACGTGTGTGTTACTCGTACGAAGATAATGCATCTATGCTCAACACGAGTTGCATCTCATTATGTTATAAATACTGAAAGGAATGTCAACTGTGCGTTATTTCTAGTAGCGATGCCATTGGGTATGATGTCAAAAATAATATAATAACAATAATAATAGTCAGAATGGAGATGGGCGGGAAGTCACCTCGACAGCTCTACCAGTCGGTGGTGCAACGCCGCCGCCTGCTCGGTCTGTCCACGAAGTAGCGTCAACACATCCAACCCCACAGCAGGCCGTTGCTGCTCAGGCGCAGTCGCAACCGTCTCATGCGGCCGCTGAGTCTGCAAACATATCTGCGGCAACACATTCGCCTCACGCTCCAGTAGCGCCTGCACCAACCGACGTCGCACGGCGTCCGCCTTCGCCCGCTCCGCCCGGGCGTTTTTTTTGACACTTTTTAGTTCGCTGCGCAGGGCACGCAGCCGTCGCTCCGCCGCCTCCTCAATGTCCCTCACATGTGAATCGGAGGCCTCCGCAAGGCGACGCGCCCCCTGCAATTCCTCCTCGAGAAACTGTAGCTGAATGCGCAGCCGCTCCCCGGCGAGATTGCTTTCCTCATGTGCCCGCTGCGACGCCGCCAAATGCTGCGCCTGTTCGCGGGCCGCGGCGAGTTGTGCCAGCTGGTGGTCCCGCTCCGCCGAAAGCCACGCCTCCCGCTGCATGACGGCATCCAGCCGCGTCTGCAACTGCCTCAATTCCGCGGCGCAACTCTCAAGCTTCGCCTCCCGCTGCTGCACCGCGCGTCTGCTCTCCTCCAGTTCCATTTTCGTTTGCTCAACACGCCATGCCAATTGCTGCCCCTCGGCACGGGCGTCAGAAAGCGACTTCTGAAGCACCGTCACCTCCAACCGCGTCTCCGTCCGCACCGCCTCGACACGCTCGTGAAGGGAGCGCTGCAGCACCGCATACCGCTCCTGCTCCGCGTTGCGTGACGCGACGGCGTCATCCACGGCAGCGGAGAGCTGACTTACACGCTCGAGGAGCTGCGACTTCTCACCATCCGCCGCAGATTTTGCCGCCTCCATCTCCTCCGCGTGCTGCGCCACAACCGCGTTAAGCCTCGCTCGTGTCTCACGGAGCTCCGCTGCGACAGACTCCGCCTGCATGACGGCCCTCCGCGCGTCGGACGCACTCTTCTCCCTCGCGACGGCGGCCTCATTCTGCAGGTCTGCTGATCGCCGCACGACAGAACGCATCTGCGTAATCTCTGCCTCTAATGTGCGGCAGCGCTGCTCCAGTTCGAGGTTGCGAGCCTGCTGCTCACGCAGGGCTGTGTGGGACGCCAGCAACTGCTGACTGCCGCGCTCCTTCTCCTCCAACAAGTGACCGCTTTGCTCCGCGCACCGTTCCTCCAGCTCCAAAACTTGCTTCTTCAACTTCTGTGTGGTCTGTGCGTCCGCGCAGACACTCACCCGCTGCAGGAGGTCCCGTATTTGCCCCTGCAGCTGCTCTACCTGCTGCTCGTGCTCTAACATTTTGTCCGCAACGGCGCGTCGGGCGTTTTCCAGTCTTCCCTTGAGGTGCTCCACCGACACGTTCGCCGCGAGGTAGCGGTCCTTGTACGCATGCGCCTCGTGAAGCTCCTTCTTCAGCTCACGGATTGTGTGCTGCAGCTTGTCCTCGCTGCTCCGCATGGCCTCAAGCTGCTTGGACAGGCGCTCATTCGCCTCCTTCGCATTTTGCACCTCCTGCACCGCGGCGTTGTACTTCCCATTGAGGCTGGCAAAGTTCTCCTGAAACTCCGTGCACGCAGCAAGAAGCTCCGCATAAGACGTCATCCCGCGTGTGCACCACCACCACCACCACCACTTCAGCGCGTCATGTGAGCAGAAAAAAGTACATTTTCAAATGTACCAAAAACAAAAAAAATGAGGATGAGAGAAATAAAAACAAAAAATAAAATTAGAAACCAAAGACATGCCGTGAGAACATCTCAATCCTTCCCAGCTGAGAAAAGAGCAGATAAAAAAAGGGGGGTCAAAACCAACGCCAAAAAGAAAAAAAGAAAAGTAATTTTTCTCCGTGCATTCTTTTATTGTCCTCTGGATTCGGCTTCACCCTCTAACATCCCAACACAGAGGGACGGTGACCAGAGATGTATCGCGTCAACTCCACTCCCCCGTAACCATCATCGGCATTAACATTTACTTTCGATGCGTCTACAAACCACACGACAATTTCATCAACAAAAGGCTCCTCATCTATGAAAAATAATAATAATAATAAGTGGTGGATTAGAATGTGTTGTGAGCGGTCGTATTGAGTTCGATGCGGTCACCTCAGTCCGTGTTGACCATTGTGATTCGAGCCAGCATCGAGGCAAGCTGCAGCGGTGTGCCAACGCCCTCCGCAATCCGCATGGTTGTCTCCCCAATGATGCGCAGCACTGCCAGTTGCTGCTGCTCGTTGCGGAACAACTTCGGATTCTGTGCCGTCCTGAAAAAGGTGGAGATGACATCTGAGGCCGCGTAGCCGCGGCCTAAAAGTCGCTGCAGTTCCTTGTGTGCACTCGGCAAATCCTTCTTCTGGAGACAGCCATCCATAATGCTCTCCACGAGCAGGGGATGCGGCTGATCGCAAACTTTAAAGACATTCTCCGCGTTCACCATGCCATAGCCCGAGTGCGTTGCCTGAAGGGCATTCACAGCGGAACGAAGGTCGCCCTCTGCCAAGTACAGCAAAGCCTCTAACCCGTCATCGGTGTAAGTGACGTTCTCCTGCTGAATAATGTAAGTGAGCCGCTTCAATATGTCCGCATGCGTAAGCTTCTTGAAGCGCACCACAGCGCATCGAGACTGAATGGGCTCAATTATTTTATGACTGTTGTT